CGACGGAGGGAAATATTCCAATATTCCAAGCATTGCTGATGGGACTTTGCTTTACCCCTCCCCTTCATTTTTCTCATTCTCCTTCCCTTTGTTTTTTTTTAAAAAAGACGCGTCTGTCCGTCCGTCCGTACAAAGGGAAAAAAAGGATGGATGGACCCTTCTGCTCCATACGTCGGGCCGGCCAAGGTTTCTTAGCCGAAAGTTTTGGCTGCGGAGGAAGCGGTTTGCGAAGAGTTGCACAAGGGAGTGGATGGACAGAAAGAAAAGAGACTTTTCTCTCTCTTTAAATTTCTCCAAAGAGCTGTTCTTCCTGGAAAGAAGCGGAGACTTTTAAGAGATGCTCAACCATCTCGGAAGAAGAGGAGAAACAGACTCAGCCAGGCTAGTGAAGACCCTCCTATGTCTGACGAAGGATGTAGAAATCCAGGTTGTTTTGTTTTTTTGCAGTCCGGGATTCTTTCTCTTCGTTCTTGGTGCGTCGACAAGGAGCAGTGGGCGATGGGCTCTGTGGTCCTTTAGGTTCACAACCTAAAGAGCTCCTGGACCGCCGTAGCGGGAATCGCCTGCTCCCGTTTCAGCCCGCATCTTGTTGGTCTTGAAACCTCTGGCCACTTTGAATTTGTGTGTGTGTGTGTTTGTGTGTGTGTCTATTTTCCAATTTGGGAGAGGGGAAGCACAGTAGTTCTACCACCCCCTCCTCAAATTCCCTCCTCCATCAGCCTCCAATCCTCACGAAACCCCAGGGAAAAATAATTTGCAATTTTGGTGGTTTGAAACCCAAGATTCATTGCCTTCTTTAGGGGAGTGAGGAAAATTAGGGTACAATGTTTTTTGGGGGAGGGGCTGTTTCCCAAAACACAAGCTATTCCCCCCCCATTGGGACCCCTTCCCTTTCTCAATTCCCCCCCCCCCAAAAAAAAGGCCATTAGAAAGAAAATGGATTTGATGCAAAGTTTCTCAATCTTGGCAAGTTTGAAGACGGGTGGACTTCAACTCCCGAAACGGGTGGATTACAACTCCCAGAATTCCCCATTCTGGGACTTGTAGTCCACGCCTCTTCAGTGTTTCAGTTGAGAAACACTGGTTTAATCAGAAGCTAGACTGCCTCTTGGTCCCTGATCTCTTCTTCAAGGAGCTTAGAAATCTAGTCAGTGGAAACCTGTGGCTTTCTCAAACCTGCAGGACTACAATGCCCATCAGCTCTGGCTAGGTGGTTTATGGTGAGGGAGGCTCAGAGAGCTCTCTTGGCAGCATCTGGAGAGCATGGGTTGGTCCCCCTCTTTCACAAGGACCATCGTGTGGTTGAGATGTACAAAGTTAGAGGTAGCTGAATTTTGGCTTGGACTTGTTGACTTCAACCCAACGTTCACCAAGGCCGGCAAGAAGACGGTGTGGGTTAGGAAAAGTGGGGAGGGGGGGAGACTCCATGAGGGCGAGACCCCCAAAAGTGGCTGCCTTCTGATCTTGAATCCACCCATCTCCAGTTAAGTCCATCTCAAATCCATCCACCTATTCCCAAAAATCAACCTCCTAGTTCTTCCCCATTCTCCATCGTTCCCCCGTTGACCAAGAATGGACCTTGGAGGCATCTCCCCCAATCTGATGCTCCTTGGTTGGACCTAAAGGAGAGAGAGAGGGGCCCAGATCCCACGCTGGAGAGGAGGCAGCAGGAGACGAAGCCGGTCTGGTGGGAACTCCATCCTTGGAGAGAGGTCTTGGTGACCAACAGAGTCAAGTCAATGAGCGAAGCAACCGATGCCCGGAAGAAGCCATTTTCTAGGAGATGGATGAGGAACAAGAAGAGCAGAGAGGAGGAGGACACTGGGCTTTTGGAGAGTGGGTGACAGAGGTCAAGCAGAGATGGCTCCTACTTTGAGCTCCAGACCTGGAGAGGAGACAGAGAAGGGAAGCATCTTAGATCTTCGCTCTTCTTGGCTGGCCGCTGGATTACAGAGACTGGGAAGGAGTGGGAGGCCAAGGACATGCAGGGAGGCCCGTCTAGCTGGGATCTTGGGTCCCCAAGATCTTGTCCCCCCCATCTCCACCTGCCTCCCAAATCCACTCCCTAATCTCCTCCTTCCTTTCTGTCTCCTACAGGGCCCAAAAGGTTGGTGTCAATCGTCTCCTTGGTCTATTGGCCCCTGATCCAGGGAGGGGGTGGGAAATCCCCTTCTTAATTTCCTTTTCCCAGCTTCCCCCCCCCCCAAGATCCCAGAAGCCAGGCCTCCAATTGCAAGGACCGTGTGTGAAGAACATCATCTCGGCATCCGTCCCGGGGTGCCTACAGGAGAGGACCAAGATGCCAGAGAAGCCACCATTGCTCAGGAGTTGACCGGACTTACCAGTCTCTCCCTTGGTGCAGGAAAGGGTCAAAGGTGGCTTGCTTTGGCCGGTTTTCCTTAAATAAACTAGGTTTGTTTGGCAGGGAATGGAAGACAACCCGCCTTTAGCTAGCTAAACCGTCCTCACGGCCAGGACTCAGGAAAGGGAAGAGAAGGAGTCTTGATGGCCGTTGACCTTCCCTGCCATCAGGAAATATTGCAAAAAAAGCTGCACAAAGTGGGTGGGTGTGAAGGTGGACACACACCCCCACCACACACACAACCCTCCCATCCCCGTGAGCAGAAATCCGGGCTTCAGAAGCGCCTCAAAAGCCACCAGGCTTCCCAAGAATTGCCCTGTGGAGCTCCTCGTCCAGACGACGCCACGGGACCACAAACACAAACGCGTGCACGCGCACACACACACATACACACACGCACCGACAAATACAGAGACAGAGGAGTGACCACCAATGACAACGACCACAAGGACAACGATGACAACAAACCAGAACGAGGAGGGGAAAGAGAGGGAGAGAGAGAGAGAGAGAGAGAGAGAAAGTGGGAGAGATGGAAGATCTTTAGAAGGTTCATGAGGTCCTCCTGCGTAGGACGTCCTTGGTGGTGAGGGATCTGCATTGAAGATGGGGGCCGGCAGGGTGGTGGTGGTGGGTCACACAGGGTCCCATGGAGGTGATGGGGAAGATGGGTAGGGGGAAAAGAAATTGCAAGCCGAGCTCCTCCAGAATCGGGGGTCCCCCTTTTGCCCCACCAAGGGAAGAAGGATCTTGTCCACCTTTGAAAAGCTCCATCACAGAGATGGCTGCATTTTGGATCCAAAACACAACCCTCTTTGACTTCTCCAACTCCTAGCCTGTTGGCCTCTTAATGTGGACTAGGAACATGGCGCACACTCCCTCTTGGGCACGCGGCAAGCTCAGATCCTTCACAGCTGTCCGGCCCCTAAACCAGCTGCAGGCCGAGAACCTTTTTATGCAGATTTGGGGGGATTCTCTTCCCGACTTCTCTTCGAAATTTTGCAGAGAAGCGTTCAGTCCACGCGCGGCAAGATTAATCCGTCCGTTCAATTTAGAAAGCCCACCGTTAAGGGCTCGTTCCTGGCCGCGGGAACCGATGGGGAGCTTTTCTTCACGGGAAAGCCGAGACGGGCAAGTTCGTCTCTCATCTTGGGCCGCCCGAATTTGGAATGTAGGACACCCAAATCCCACCCAAGGGCATTTCGGGAGCTCGGCGGAGCAAAAGCAGAAAAGGAGGGTGACAGGGCTGGGAAGAGGGGAAGGAAAAAGCCGTGAGATATATATATATATATATTTGCATTTGTAGATATCGTCACAAATCAACCGCTAACCGACATGTCCGAATAAATGAAAAACAACAACAACACAAAAAACCATCCAGACGAGCAAAACACAGCACAGGCAAGAAAACTGCAGAAGAAAAAGCACAGGCCAGGAGGGTTCACAGGTGGCAACCACAACGATATCTCACACGGTGAGAAGACATGAAGGGTGGAGGAAGGAAGGGGAGCGACGTGTCGCAAATATACCCAATATTTGAGAGGTGCGATTTGCACCACAATGAATTTGCAAAGGGGACATTGAGTCTTCTTCGTCTCTGTAAGGAGGTATGGAGGACGATTTGGGGCACCGGCCAACTCGCTGCAGCAATTCAATTTAACGATTTAAACTACTTTTAAAAATGGTTTTTAATTTTTGTCCTTCGCCGTTTTGTTTTGTCCCTTCTTTATTCTATTCCGCTATTTTTATGAGAGAAGTGAAACTCTTACCCCGTGGCGAGTTGGCCGTGCCGATTTGTCATAGACCCCCTTTGTGCAAGAGTGTTGCAAGTGTTGCGTGCATGCACGCTTGATGGGGAGAGAGAGAGAGAGAGAGACAAAGAGAGAGAGACAGAGAAAGAGAGACAGAGAGAGACACAGAGAGAGAGAGACAGAGAGA